ATGGTATCTCTACTTTGGAAAACAACTTGGCACTCTTACAAAGCTTACATAGTCTTACTGTCTATCTAATGGTCATGTTCCCAAACACTTGGGAATGAGCTGAAAACATGTCTACACAAAAGCCTGCACATGAATGTTTATAGTAGCTTTATTGATAAATTGCCAAAACTTGGAGCAAACTAAGATGTCTTTCAATCAGTAGGCGGATAAACAAACTGTGGTACATCCCCGCAATGGGATATGATTAAGAGATAAAAAGAAAGAAGCTGGCCGAGTGTGGTGGCCCATACCTGTGATCCCAGCACTTTGGGAGGCTGAGGCAGGGGGATCACAAGGTCAGGAGTTTGAGACCAGCCTGGCCAACATAGTGAAACCCTGTCCCTACTAAAAATACAAAAATTAGCCAGGCGTGGTGGCGCACGCCTGTGATCCCAGTTATTCAGGAGGTGGAGGCAGAAGAATTGCTTGAACCTGGGAGGTGGAGGTTGCAGTGAGCCGTGATCGCACCACTGCACTTCAGCCTGGGCAACAAGACAGGGTGAGACCCCATCTCAAAAAAAATAAATAAATAAGAAAAAATGAAGAAAAGAAAGAAGCTATCAAACCACACAAAGATATGGAGGAACCTTAAATGAACATTGCTAAGCGAAAGAAGCCAGTCTGGAGAGGCTACATACTACATGATTCCAACTCTGTGACATTCTGGCAAAGGCCACACTATAGAGACAGTTAAAAATAGTGGTTGCCAGGGGTTCCAGAGCGGGCAAGGAGAGGGAAAGGGATGACAGGTGGTACACAGGGAATTTCTAGAGCAGTGAAACTGCTCTGTGTGATGCCATGACAGTAGATACATGTCATTGTACATTTGTCAAAACACATAAGATGCACAGCACAGAGTGAAGCCTAATGTAAATGATGGGCTTCGGTTAATAACGTCTCAATAGTAGTTCATCAGTTCTAACAAATGCACCGCGCTAACACAAGAGGGAAATCGGGGGGAAACTGAGGGGAGGGAGGAGATGTATGGGAACTCTACATTTTTTGCTCGACTTTTTCTGTAAACTTAAACCTGCTCTTAAAACTAATGCCTATTAATTGTTAAAAAATATAATACCAAGAATTGGCAAGGAAGTGGGGAAACTGAACTCCTCATATATTGCTGGCGGGAATGTAAAATTGTACAACCACGTTAGAAAACAGATTGACAGTTTCTTTTCTTTTTTTTTTTTTTTTAATCGAGGTCTTTCTCTGTCACTCAGGCTGAAGTGCAGTGGCATGAGCACAGCTCACTGCAGCCTCGACCACCTGGGCCCAAGCGATCCTCCTACCTCAGCCTCCTGACTAGCTGGGACCACAGGCGTGCACTACCATGCCCAGCTAAATTTTAAATTTTTTGTATAGACAGGGTCTCCTCATGTTGCCCAGGCTGGTCTCGAACGCCTTGGTTGAAGTGATCCTCCCACCTCAGCCTCCCAAAGCACTGGGATTACCAGCACTAGCATGCTGGCATGAGCCACTGCACCCGGCGGGCAGTTTCTTAAAAAGCTAAAAATAAAGTTATCATTTGACCCAACAGTTCAACTCCCAGGACTCTACCAAAACAAATGAAAACAAATCCACACAAAGACGTCCACATGAACGTTCTAACCAGCATTGTTGATGACAGCAAAATCTAGAAACAACCCAAATGTCCATCAGCTGATGAATGGATAAACAAAGGCGGCATTTCCATGCACTGGATCTACTCAGTAATAAATGGAATGAGGCCCTGACGCATGCTACCGCATGATGAACCTCAAAAACAGTATGCTAAGGAGAAGCAGCCAGACCCGGGGACTGCATAGCATACGACCCTCCTTATATGAATGAAGTTGTTCATACTGACAGAAAGCAATTCAATGGATTACCCAGAGCAAGAGGTGGGAGCAGGGATTAACCACAAAACAGTCTCCAGGAAATTCTGGGGGTTGACGTAAAACTAGATGGTGATGATGGTTACATCACTCTAAATTCATTTAAAATCACTGAGTTGTATACTTATATATGAATTTTATGATATGTAAATTATAACTCACGAAAAGTTTACAAAACATAAAAATAGGCTGGGCATGGTGGCTCACGCCTGTAATCCTAGCACTTTAGGAGGCCAAGGCAGGCGGATCACAAGGTCAGGAGTTCGAGACCAGCCTGGCCAATACGGTGAAACTCTGTCTATGCTAAAAATACAAAAATTAGCTGGGTGTGATGGCACACGCTTGTTGTCCAAGCTACTCAGGAGGCCGAGGCAGGAGAATTGCTCGAACCCAGGAGGTGGAGGTTGCAGTGAGCCAAGATCATGCTACTGCACTCCAGCCTGGGTGACAGAGTGAGACTCTGGCTCAAAAAAATAAATAAATGAAAAATAAGCCTCGTGGAAAAGGTAAATTAAGAAAAAGGCTAGCCAGAAGGGAAGGTGATGGGATGCACGTACACAAGCTGTCAGGCCCCGGTAACTGTTCTCTGTAAACCTGACTCGGAGTTTCTTGGCAGCCGAAGTGAATAGAGAAGTACTGCCCACTGGAAGAGGAGGCATACTTAAGTTCTTAAGAAATGCTGGGCTGGGTGCCATGGCTCATGCCTGCAATCCCAGCACTTTGGGAGGCCGAGGCAGGGGGACTGCTTGAGCCCAGGGGCTCAAGACTAGCCTGGACAACGTAGCAAGATCCCATCTCTACAAAAGGTCCCTTCTCTACCTCAGCCTCCCAGCTACTCAGGAGGCTGAGGTAGGAGGAGCACGTGGGCCCAGGAGGTCAAGGCTGCAGTGAGCTGAGATGGCACCACTGTACTCCAGCCTGGGCGACAAGAGTGAGACCTGTCGGAAAAAAAAAAAAAAAGCAAAGCCATTCCTAGCCTTCAGTTTCTTCAATTTCAAGAAGGATTTCTCGGGTGTGGTCTCATCCAGACACTAGAGAAAAAATATGAATAGTGTCTTAACAGTATCCAGGCCAGGTGAGGTGGCTCATATCTGTAATCCCAGCACTTTGGGAGAGCGAGGCCGGTGGATCACCTGAGGTCAGGAGTTTGAGACCAGCCTGGCCAACATGGTGAAACCCCGTCTCTACTAAAAATACAACAATTAGCTGGGCGTCAGGGCGCATACCTCTAGTCCCAGCTACTCAGGAGGCTGAGGCAGGAGAATCACTTGAACTCAGGAGGTGGAGGTTGCAGTGAACCAAGATTGCACCACTGCACTCCAGCCTGGGCAACAGAGTGATACTCTGTCTCAAAATAAAACAAAACAAAAGAAATAATATTTTATGACAAAAGCAATAATGGGCTCCATAAAGTAGTTTCGTTTGATGTTCCTTGATAAAGGCCACAAATATGATACCAGAACACAGCCCAGAGAAGGCATTTCTGCTGAGGCTAAGAACACACAGCCCAAGGATGTCGCTTTCTGAACGCCAAACTATATTAGAATAGTTAGTGAACTGGATGGAGTACCCAGAGGCCTTTAGAAAAATCCTCCATAAGTGTCATTTCTTCAGTAGGTTTTTAATGAGCTGGTAGTTATTATACAGGTGTTTTTCCCCAGCTAAGCAAGGCCTGGAGTGTGCCAGTGCTTCGCGTTGCTAATTAAGGGCATATCCTCCTGCAGAGCGATGGGAATTTATGCGAGGGGTGTGTTCCTAAAGAATTCACATAACTCCAGTAGGAGTCATATGAGTTCAAATTCTGCTTATTAAACAAGACTTAAGTGTTTTGGTTTTTTTCATTGTTGTTTTCTCATGTTTAAAAAAAATCATAGCTGGGCACAGTAGTTCACGCCTATGATCCCAGCACTTGGGGATACTGATTTGGGAGGATCACTTGAGTCCAGGAGTTCGAGACCAGCCAAGGCTTAGATGATAAAACTGGCAGCTCGCGAGGCCGGCCCTGCCTCCACGTGCCAGCCTTCCTCTGGCCCAGGCTGGTGACTCAGGCCAACATTTGAAGGCCCACCACGAGAGGACTCCACCTACCATAGTGTGACCCTGTCTCTTCAAAAAATATAAAAATTAAAAGTTAGCTGGATGTGGTGGCATGCACCTGTAGTCCCTGCTACTCAGGAGGGTGAGGTGAGAAGGTCGCTTGAGCCCGGGAGGTCGATGCTGCAGTGAGCCATAATCGCACCACTGCACTCCAGCCTGGGCGACAAAGCGAGACCCTGTCTCAAAAAATATGTAAAATCACATAATTCAAATCTGTGTTAAATGAGACCTGTCTTTCAGTGATCAAAGGAGCAGAAAGTCCAGGTCCTTCTATGTTCTGGTTGGGCTCGTTCCCTTGTAGAAATGTCCCTCTGTGCTGGCTACAGGATATGGCTGCCTTTCGGCTCCTGGCCAGCCTGGGGCACAGGTCAATGTCATGTCCCAGCTCATGAGGAATCCGGAAGGAAAAAGATGTGTGGCTTTACACTGCTGCAGCTTTTCAGTTCTTTGCTAATCAGCATTCACTTTTCGGCTTTTGTAAATTGCAGGAGAGGAGGGAAGTCATTGCTCGAAATAAGAATGGAACTATTAGGCCGGGCGCGGTGGCTCACGCCTGCAATCCCAGCACTTTGGGAGGCCGAGGCGGGTGGATCACGAGGTCAAGAGATCGAGACCATCCTGGTCAACATGGTGAAACCCCGTCTCTACTAAAAATACAAAAAATTAGCTGGGCATGGTGGTGCGTGCCTGTAATCCCAGCTACTCAGGAGGCTGAGGCAGGAGAATAGCCTGAACCCAGGAGGCGGAGGTTGCGGTGAGCCGAGATCGCGCCATTGCACTCCAGCCTGGGTAACAAGAGCGAAACTCCGTCTCAAAAAAAAAAAAAAAAAGAATGGAACTATTATCAGCAAATAGTTTAGGCACTTACTATACAGTTAGCCCTTCATGTGTATTAACAAGTTCATCCTCACAGCCCTGTGAGGTCTTGGGGAGGGCAAAAGTACGTGAATCGTGTCCCCAAGTCAGGCTTTGGATCAAAGTGGTACTCACACAGACGGCCTCAAACACGTGAAAGACGCTATAAACTGGCAAGACCTGGCCCACCAGGGCGATGACATCTCTGCAAAAGAAATTAGAAAGCATAAGACACAGAGGTAGCCTTTGAGACCCATTTATCTCCCTTCTGTTCCATGCCCCCCAACCCCACCAAGAAAACGCTCTGGAATAGAGGTAGTTGCCCCACACAAATATAACTGGCACTGCTAGCCCAGAGTTTTCTATGTGTCTGGGGGTCACACCTCAAACTTTGGACAGTCCCCATAATTTTGTACTGCCCTTCAGTTAGCCTCTTGTCTGTGGACAGGCAGGTCATGAAGGCCTAGAATGGACAGAGGTTGACTCCTCAGACATGATTTAAGTACTTTTGCCCTCCCCAAGACCTCGCCGGGCTGTGAGGATGGACTTGCTAATACACGTGAAGGGCTAGCTGTATAGTAAGTGCCCAGAGTATTTGCTGATAATAGTTCCATTCTTATTTCAAGCAGAGAGCCTGGACTCTTCCTGCTTCCTTTATGCCCAGCACTGGGCCAGGCACATGATGAATCTCTGAGGACAGGCTGGGAACCCCTGTGACATTTTCCAAAAGTCAGCATAGAAAACTGATTACCTACTCATCATTGGTAAAAATGTGCCCCAGCTGATTTTTCAGGATGCTTATCAGGGTGCCCAGGACCATGGAAATGCCCACTGGAAGAGACAAAAGGTGCAGCAATGACAGACCCCAACCCAGGGAGCACCCTGCTCAGATCAGCAAAGGGCGGACCACTTTGTCAGTGCAAGTCAGCCCAGCCCTCTGCAATTAGGTGCCTTTTGTCACAGGCCCTGATGTCCCCTGCATCCGAGGCATTCATTTGGGCTAGACACTCAGGCTTTAGGAAGGGCAATGTGGAAGATGCTTTCACTCCGCCGGTTCTCAGAGTGGGGGGCACACTGGCCAGTAGCATCCACATCACCTGGGAACTTGTTAGAAATGCAGATTCTCAGACCCTGCCACCCATCTACTGAATCAAAGCCTGCTGGAGAGGCCCAGCAATCAGTGATCAACCCTCTTAGGGATTCCGGCTACAGCCTGAGAACCACTGCTTTCTATAGGAAAGCCAGTGTGAGCCTTCAGTCTAAGAAAGCACAGCCATGATGTCAGAGGACACGAGTGGCTCCTTCTCAAGGGAGGGTGGGCAGCTGCCGAGCTCATGGGGGTGCTGGGAGGGCCAGGCTTGCAGAAGGACTCTGGACAGCCAGAAGAATGCTGGACAGGAAGGGCCTTCAAAGAGTCAGGCTTTTCTCTAAGGTGAGTGGTAGAAGCCAGCTATCTCCAGAAGAGTCCCAGAATCATAGCATCAGGGAAGGCGTGAGTGGGGTTGGGGACAAGGTGGTGGGAGGGACACTTGCTGCTCAGGGAGGGGCAGCTGTCAGCTTATCAGCAGAGGCTGGTCTGGGTCAGATGGCAGGTCCAGCAGGCTTGGAAGATAAACCTGGCAGCTCCCGAGGCCAGCCCTGCCTCCACCGTGCCAGCCTTCCTCTGGCCCAGGCTGGTGACTCAGGCCCATGTTTGAAGGCCCACCAGGAGAGGACTCCACCTACCTATGAGAAGCACACCTGACACAGCTGAGCGTTTGGCCTGCACGGTGTCCGCAGCCCCCAGAGCCATCCCCACTCGGACACACACCCCGATGCTGAGCCCCAATGGAATCTGGGACCAACGATAAGAAAGCACAGTCAGTGGGGACACCCTGTGACCCCTGCCGTCCTGAGCCAGCCTGGGCCAAGGGGGATGGGAGTGGGAAGGCGGAGCAGATCTCAGGCCTGCAGCCCAAGAGGCGTGTGGCATTCCTGCTGCTGACAATGAGGCAGGGAGGGCTGGAGCTGGGAGAAGGGTGGGGGAACCCCCCGTGAACCAGCCAGTCCCACCACCACCTGTGCCATCAGAGGCAGCACAGGCAGGTGGGCCTTCCAACCGAAATCACTGTGTGGTCAAAATCCAATGAGAAACAGATTTTAAAGAGGTGACTATGGTCTTAAGTATACCTGAAAAGCTCCTTGTAAGAAAAAAAGAGAGTTCAGCAACAAGCCTTTGTAAAAATGGTTTTGTAATGTAGATTTTTGTGAATACTTTGCTTAAACGTGGGGTCTAGGACAGCATGCCCCCCGATGCTGGCAGATGCCAACTGGAGTGACCTGGACTGGAGTGGGCATGAGGAAGATGGTGGTGTGTCTCTGTGGGGAGTAGAGGGGAGGCGGGGGCTGCGGTAGCAGAGAGCCCGTGGCCCTGCTGGGGATGCTGTCACCCAACTCTGGCCGACTGCAGTGTGCAGGAACGTGGGCCTGCTGCTCAGTGGAATGTGCATTTCTTAAGAAAATCCAAAGATAAGATTGTGGTGTGAAATCTCCCAATTTTAAAATAATGCTAATTAATTTTAAAAATTCCCACATCTGTGAGTGAAATACCACCCTTGGTGGACAGGTCGTGGGCACCTGTGTGTGAGCCCTGGCGTAAGCTGAGCAGGGCCTGGACCTGATGGGCATGAGAGGTCCAGGAGGGTCCCTCGGGAGATGGAGACAGCCTCAGGTGACAGCGGCCCCCCCCGATGACACCTCCAGCCATCAGGTGGGGGGCGTGGGGAAGGCACCCCTGCAGGAGGCTTTCTTACCATGTAGGTCACGGTGGCCACCTCGTAGATGACAGCCTGGGCGGAGAGATCCTCCACGCTGAGCAGGCCTGGAGGAGAGGCTCGCCGTGAGCTCAGCCTGCAGCCCCAGACACCCAGACCCTGTACCAACAGGACGCTGCTCTGTTTTGGGGACTCGGGCCAATTTTTTTTTTCCTCCTTGAGACAGAGTCTCACTCTGTCACCCAAGCTGGAGTGCAGCGGCACAAATATAGCTCACTGCAACCTCGGCCTCCTGGCTTAGGTGATCCTCCCACCTCAGGCTCCCAAGTAGCTGGGACTACAGGTGGTGCCACCACACCAGTTAATTTTTGTAGTTTTTGTAGAAACTGGGTCTCGCCGTGTTGGCCAGGCTGGTCTCAAACTCCTGGCTTCAAGTGATCCGCCTGCCTCGGCCTTTCAAAGTGCTGGGATTACAGGTGTGAACCACCATGCCCGGCTGATTTTGAAGGGCAGATTAGTAACAATAACAACAAAAAGACATTCCTTCTGGCCTTCAACCTGTTAGGGAAATTCTGCCCAGTGCCCCAGAGGCCCCTGCAGGCTTCCACGTGTGGTTTGTCTTTCCAGATGAACTCAGGGTGGCAGCGTGAGGGAGGGGACAGAGAACAGGGCCAGGGTCCGGCAACCCGAGTTCGGTTCTCGGCCCTGCCACCAATTTCCTGTTTGTGGAGTTCCTGTGTTCCCGGGGCCCCATTTTCTTATCTGTTAATGCGGGGCAGGGGTTCTGATATTCAGGCTACCTCGAGTCCTCACTTCACCGAGTGCTCTAATGAGCACACACAAGACAGCAGGCAGGAGCCTCACACTTGCGAGCCCAGGCCTCTGTTTGCACCCACAAACCAGCTCATTCGATCTCTCAGTTCTCCGTGCCTCAGCCACCTCCCACAGGCATCTGCTCTGCCCGGCCCGTGCTGGGATCCAGGCACAAAAGGCCCAGGCCTGCCTCCTGGACGCTCACAGCCTAGTGGGGAGGCAGACCAGCAACAGACTGACCACCCCACTGGGCGGTGGTGCTCTCTGGGTCCATGCCTGGGGGTCTGGCCAGTGGAATCGGAAGGGAGCTGGTGAGCTGCCATCCTGGGAAGGAGCTCCTGGGCTGGGTGAGCCGCCCACATGCCGTTGTGCACCCCCCGCTCTTCCACATACCCATGAGGAAGCTCCCGACCTCGTAGGCCCACCACTCGATGCAGACCATGAGCATGCTGGGGACAGCCAGGGAGAAAAAGGGGCCCCAGTCCTGCAGGCACTGGCTGGACCAACCTGGAACAGAGACCCCTGAGCTGGCAGCCCACCCAACTCGCCCACCTGCTTCCCGCTCCCCACTGCCAGGAGGCCCCTAAACACCTTTGGCTCTTCCTGCTCTGGGGCTTAGCAGACCCAGGCACTGGGTGTTTTGCAGAGGGAATGCTGGTGCTGGGCCCCATGGAGGAGGAGCAGGCAAGAACAGGATACCAGGCTCGCCTGGCCGGTTCACGGGTGACCCAGTCAGCCCAGGGATGGGTGTTGGTCCCCACTCCACCCTCAACACTGTGGGATCTTGGGCAACTACCCACCACTCTGCAGGCTCTGTTCCCATCTGAAAACCCCAGGCCTTAGCTCTGCCCTGCCTTCCCCGGGGGTTTTCAGAGGCAGCTTGAGATTAAGGATGCTGAAGCAAACACACCATAGGTGTGCGTGGCAGGCTTGAAAGGGGCTCAGCTGGGGCCCTGCCCCCAGGTGAGGCCCCACAGGCCCACAGAGCCGTTCCTGAAATGCCTGGCAAGAGGAGGTCCTCTTTGTATGGGATTGGCTCTCAAGAGGCAGAACAGCACAGGCAGGCCCCAACATGCCTGGTGTTTCGGCAAATGACTTAATCTCCGTCTGTCATAATCTCCTCTTTGTAAGATGGGCCTAATGAGGTGTAGTGAGGCTTAAATGAAGTCAGGAATGTCAGGCACCCCACGCGCTGCTGACAGCTGGTATTCCACGCCTGTCACTGCTCTCACTGCCATCCTGAGAGCAGGGACTGGGCAAAGCTCCCTGGGCCAGCCTTCTGTGATGGACCCATCAGGGCTCTGCATCGTGACACCTTGGATGAAGGGACCCTGGGCCCTTGGAGCTGGGGAAGCAAAGGGGAAGGAGTGGGGTGTGCAGGGTCCTGCACCTTCTGCCTGGGGCAGCACCGCCACTAGCCTGCTCAGCCTCCCAGAGCAGACCAGGCCTCCCACCTGCCCACGTCTCCAGGTGCAGCTTCTTCAGCATGATGTAGAGAAGGAGGAAGATGGTCTGCGCGAACTGGGAGATGATGTTGGCATAGGCAGAGCCTCTGGGAAAGGAGGGAGAGCAGGGCTAGGACTGCTGCCGACTCTCTACCACCCACTGATGCCACTCTCTGGGACTGATGCCACTCACTGCCTGAGAGAGAGATGGCTCTGGCAGCCAGCCCATGTGGGGCAGGCATGGCTCTGCTCTACCCCCATCCTGGGATCGGACACAGCCAGGCCCCACAGGCACCTCTGGCCATGGTGGCTGTACCCAGGCAGCCATGACTACAGCGTCCTGGGACCACTGCCAGTGCCCACTTTGCCTCTCCTGGTGGGCTGGGGCAGGAGTGGGGAGTGGCTGTCCTCTCGCCCCATCAGGCCTCAAACTGAGGTTCCCAAGGGACCATCAGGCCCCTCCAACTCCCCATAACCACCCACTTCAGGACAGCACAGGCAGGGCCAGGACGGTGACTGACCTGTCTCTACCAGGGGTGGGGAGCTTGGTGGGCAGTGCCCCCTGACCAGGCCCCACCAGCCCCCGGGCTCACCTGATCCCCAGGTCCAGCGCAGAGACCAGGGCGTAGTTGCCCATTCCGTTGACACAGTTGCCAACCACACCACTGAGGACTTGGGGCCACGTGATCTTCTGAAAGAAATGAAAACTGGCCCTGCTAAGGTGTGAGTGGGGTGCATGGTGGGTGGACAGACCCAGGTGTGGAAGGGGGACTCCCTCTCCTGCCCCTTCAGACATCCTCATCCGGGAAATGGAAGAGGCTGGGACGCACAGCCTCTCACCCACCTCTGTGCAGATGTCAGGACATGGCGTGGTGGGCTGGAAGTGACCCCTTTCCAGAGCTGGTTCACAGAAGGTGGAGAGAAGGGGAAAGCCCCAGGCCCCTCCCTGGAACAGGGCAGTGTGCTGGGAGAAGGGCCACCCCCATACCAAAGACCTGTACCTGATTTTGCAAATATTTTGCCAGCAGATTGTAAAGAAAAATCACCTGTATGAAAAGCAAACCCAAACAGATCAATAACAATGACCAAAATCCACCAAATGAGCATTAACCGACCTTCCTCTCCAGGGCATGGTACTCTAGATTGGAGCAATTCCTTCTCAAAGTATGTCTGGGACCCCTCAGGTACGGCCAAAGCCCACCTGACCACCTGGACTCGTGCTCTGGCCCGGCCTATGGGAGAGGCCCCTCAGGACTCCCTTCTGCCACAGGTGAGGTGAGCAGGCGTGTTTTGGCTCTGAGAGAGGACCCTTTGCACACCTGCTCACGGTGCACAGTGCCTGGCAGGCCTTCTGGCTGCTAAGCCAGGTCTCCGTGAGCTTTGGAAGGTGAGAAAATGACCCAAGAGGATTTGAAGGAGTGATCTGGAGTGGGGAATGGCAGGTACTGAGCCATGCTGACCGAGATTAGCCTATGCTGAGCAAGTTCAAGACCCTACGGGGCAGCGGGGGAGAGGGGACATGCCCTTCCCTGGCTGGGGAGGACCGCAGGGGAGTGTGCGTGGCAGTGTGTGTGTCGGGGGCACTGTCCCTGCCCTTTCGCTCCTATCTTAAGGAGTATAGAATGGGCATCAACTGGAACCTAGCCCAGGGCCCACGCCGTCCTTGTCCCGTTCCTCCCCTTAGCCCTGCACTTCTTTTCAGCATTGTGCGCTGATTAAGAGTACGGAGCCGGAATGGACTGGGTTCCGTTCCTGGCTCTGCCTCTTCTGAGATGTGTGATCTTGGGCAAGTTACTTAACCTCACTGAGTTTATTTCCTCATCTGTTATTTGTAACCTCACTGAGTTTATTTCCTCATTATTATTATGGGGCTAATGATAGTGTGTGTACTTAAAATACATTTAATATTTTACATACATAAATATTGCAAAGTTAATATTGCAAAGGGCTTACAAAACAATATATGGGACATCTGAGCATTCCAAGTGTTAGCCAAGCACTACGTAAGTCAGTATTATTAGCAATTAACTTCTGCAGCTGCATGTTATGGAAGAACCTTGGCTTATTTGATAAAGACGACGCCACAGTGATATCTACAGGGCATTTACCCCTGACCCGGCTCCAATAGTCCTGGTTGACAAGATGCCACCACTTTGGTCTGAAAAGCCAAAGTACAGTTTATATGGAAGACTCAGAGAAGACCAGCCCTATAAGGTAGTTTCCATGATCTGGAAGAAATCTGTAACCAGCTAGGCCCCAAAGAGGTCATGGCACTGGCCTGGCAGAGAGGTGGGTGTGGCTGGGTCTACCAGGACTGCACGCTGTGGGGGCACCCCACCTTCAACCCTAACCTCGTCCCTGCCCAGCTCCCTGGCCCACAACTCTGCCCCTGGCACCCTGGAGGCTGCAGTGTCAAAAGGTGAGCTCAGCCCGGCAGGGCCGGACAGCACACAGAACTAACTGGCAGTCCAGCAGGCACGGCTAAGCTGCAGGTCCGACAGTGAAGCACTGAGCTGTGGAAGAGACATACGGTCACCGGGTCACGGGACAGACAGACACCGACCCAGACAGATGCACTGTTGATTCATTTGGTAATTAATAAATTAATGCAGAAAGGAGAGAATATGCAATAAATGCTGTTCAAAAAAATTTAAGTTTGTTGGATTAATGACTTAAATGTAAAAATAGAAACCCTGGAAGGATGCAAAAATATATAAGCAAATGTGTATATAATCTTGCTGTGAGTTAAGTCTTTTAAGCTTGTTAAAGACATAAGGAAAAGGACTTACATACATATTCAAAATTCTTTAAATCAGAAACATAAACAGAATAAAAGGCAAAGGATTAAAGTATTCTTTAATAAGAATTATAATACTTAGAAAAAGATTAACCCACTAAAATAAGCAAAGAGCTATTCACAGAATAAACACATGAGAAAATGTTCAACTTCATTATCAATAAAAGAAATGCAGGCCGGGCACGGTGGCTCACACCTGTAATCCCAGCACTTTGGGAGGCCAAGGCGGATGGATCACAAGGTCAAGAGATCAAGACCATCCTGGCCAACATGGTGAAACCCCGTCTCTACTAAAAAATACAAAAATTAGCTGGGTGTGGTGGTGTGCGCCTGTAGTCCCAGCTACTTGGGAGGCTGAGGCAGGAGAATTGCTTGAACCCAGGAGGCGGAGGTTGCAGCGACCCAAGATTGTGCCACTGTACTCCAGCCTGGCGCCTGGCGACAAAACAAGACTCTGTCTCAAAAAAAAAAAAAAAAAAAAAAAAAAAGAGAAAGAAAGAAATGCAGGCCAGGAGCGGTGGCTCACACCTGTAATCCCAACACTTTGGGATACCAGCCCGACCAAAACGGTGAAACCCCGTCTCTACTAAAAACACAAAAATTAGCTCAGCGTGGTGGTGCGCACCTGTAATCCCAGCTACTCAGGAAGCAGAGGCAGGAGAATCGCTTGAACCAGGAGGCAGAGGTTTGCAGTGAGCCAAGATCATGCTACCTCACTCTAGCCTGGGCAACAGAGCAAGACTCCATCTTGAAAGAAGAAAGAAAAGAAAAGAAAAAGAGAAGAGAAGAGAAGAGAAAGAAAGGAAAAGGAAGGAAGGAAGGAAGGAAGGAAGGAAGGCAGGCAGGCAGGCAGGCAGGCAGGCACACACGCACGTTAAAACTATTTCTTATTGGAAGAACTCTTAATAATAGTGTATGCTACTGAAGTTTTTGCTGGCTGGGGTAGAAACTGATACAGTTTGGCAATATGTCTCAAAAGCCATTCACTGAGCAATTCCACTTCCAGTAATGCATGTCTATAACTGATAATTTCCTTGGAAATCGTTACAGATGACTCACAAAGGTTTTTCCTTAAGAATATTGCAAATCTGATTTATAATAGTTTGCATTATAAGTAGGGATTGGTTAATAAATTATGGCATAACTATGGGTACCAGATAACCTTTGGAATTGATATTGCGGAAGGCTGTTTCATCATGTAAAGAGACTAATGATATGTCTTAAAGGGGAAAAGCATATTATAATACAATATACACATATTGATCCCATTTCAATTTGTCTGTATGTGTGTGTTTGAACACACACACCCATGAATAGAAATAATCCTGGAGGCCCGAGCGTGGTGGCTCACACCTGTAATTCCAGCACTTTGGGAGACTGAGGTGGCAGATCACTTCCCGAGGTCAGGAGTTCAAGACCAGCCTGGCCAACATGGAGAAACTCCATCTCTACTAAAAACACAAAAATTAGTCAGGTGTGTTGGTGCATGCCTGTAATCTCAGCTACTTGGGAGGCTGAGGCAAAATGGCTGGAACCCAGGAGGCGGAGGTGGCAGTGAGCCAAGATCGTGCCACTGCCCTCCAGCCTGGGTGACAGAGCAAGACTCTGTCTAGAAAAAAAAACAAAAGAAAAATCCTGGAGAGAGAGAGTAACATATGTTGTCTCTGGGTGGTAGAATTATAGGTGATTTGAATTCTTCCTGCCTCATGCTTTTCATATTTTCTCCATGAAACATTTTCAAATCAGAAAAACATGTTATAAAATTCAGTTTGCACCAACTGCAAAGGAGCTTCTCTTCGGTCAGTCATTCTCGTGGCCCAGCAGGAAGTCATAGCAGGATAAGGATCTTCCCCAGCAGTTAGGGTGGGAAAGCAAAAAGCCAGAATTTAGGGGAATGTGATTCCACGCTCAGCAAACAGGGTCACCTACCGGAAGTCCTGGGATGAAAATCATTACGTAGTCCTGGGTCAACCTGCAAGAGAAGGAGAAGCTCCGGAGCTGACCAGGCTGTGGCCCAGGGAGGCAGGGCCCTGTCCCCTGTGCCCTCCAGGACTAGGTGCTGGCTGCTGTCCCAGGGCATCCTGGGCCCCTAGGTTTGTGGAGAGGCTTTACCAGGCCCTGCAGATCTCAGCCAGGACTGTGAAACCTCCGCATCAGGGGCTGCTGCTCTCAGATGCTAAGCAGGTGCCAGGAGGGGCAGCTGAAGCACCCAAATACCCAGGCCTCAGGACTAGGGAACTTAAATTCAGAGTAACGTGGTTTTGTAAGAAAAAAAAGGTTATATCTTAAAAAGGAATAGCCAAATGAAATGTACATAATATAAACGAACAAGGGCTCCCTACGAGAGGGCATCTCTGAATTTAATAATAAACTATGGGCCAGGCACAGTGACTCACACCTGTAATCCCAGCACTTTGGGAGGCTGAGGTGGGTAGATCACCAGGTCAGGAGATCGAGACCATCCTGGCCAACATGGTGAAACCTCGTCTCTACTAAAAATCCAAAAATTAGCTGGGTGTGGTGGTGTGTGCCTGTAGTCCCAGCTACTCAGAAGGCTGAGGCAGGAGAATCGCTTGAACCCGAGAGGCAGCGGTTGCGGTGAGCCAAGACTGCACCACTGCATTCCAGCCTGGGCCACGGAGTGAGACTCCGTCTCAAAAAATAATCAATACTATTACTACTAATAAAACTATAATTCATCAAAAATTGGTTGTCATCTCTCTCCTTTTAGGAATATGGGGAAATGCACACACTGCATTTTTTCAAAAGCATCCACAAAGCTCCTGTGTGCAGGCACACAAATGCAAATAAAATGCAAATCCCAAATTGTTTCTTGCCTTTCCTCCTAAATTAAAACTGGGCGTTTGTCCGCCTCTGTCCCCTGCTGGCCGCTGCTGGAGCCGCAGCCATGGGAGAGAATCCCCAACCCGAAGCCTGGAAGGTACCCACAGGCACCGTGCACTGTGACCACTCGTGGCCTAGAGAAATACGGGGCTTGGTGGGGGGTGGGGGGCTTCTTTAGGGTTTCCCTCGGCGGTCCGGTTTTCCCAGGAGCCTCCAGGTCTCTGGCAAGCCCCAATTCCCCAGCTGGAGCCCAGCGCACCTGGACACTTCTGGGTCCTGCCTGAAGAGCAGCAGGATGTGCTGGGTGTTGAGGAAGAGCGCCCAGCAGGGGAGGCAGCAGAGGAGCAGGACCAGCGTGCCCCGCTGCAGGATCACGCCCACGTGCTTCTTGTTGGGGCTGCCGAAGCTCTGCAAAACAGCCCGCCCGCATCAGCCCTTTCCGCTACCCCGGACATTCCAATGCCCCGCGCGGGGAGCAGGCGCCGGCAGGGTGTGGCGGAGCCTGCGGCCTCTGCTGCTGCAGCCTGAAACGGCACAGCGGCCTTCCTGAGCCGCAGCCCACCACTGTCTCCACTGTGTTCCAAAACTCCAAGGAGGAAGAAGGCACGTGGGATTTCCTCGCATGTCACGGGTGGGTAAGTGGTAGCCAGGGCCAAGCCCAGGTCCTCCGAGAAGCTAGAACCCCCAGGGAGAGGTGAGGCCTGGCCACTTTGTGACCCCATGGCCGCCTGGGCAGCCCCTGCCGGACTTCGGGCCCCTGCGAGCAGGGAGGTTCCTTCTGTGTCCCGTCAGCTCGTGCCTGCATGTAGGCAGCCGAACTAGGAGTGAGGAGGGGGAACCGGTTGTCTTTCTCTACTTGGTGACCTCCTCTGGGGGCAAGAGGTCAGGAAACTGCCTCCACCATCTCCACCCTTTTCACCTGGCCCAGACTCATTCAAAGGGCAGGGTCTGTTTCCCTGACAGCCTGTGGTCCTTGGTGCTGGGGCAGGAGCAGCTGCCCCCAGGCCCCTCACTCCCAGATCACCTGGGTGGGCCCCTCCCACCTGCCATCTCAGTGGCACCTGTGGGATTGGCTCTGCCCCTGCCTGGCTTCCTGCCCAGCTCTGGGATGCCACCCACCTGAGACATCAAGGTGTCACACGCGGAAGACAAACCAACTCCTACGGAAACTCCGCAGACATTGATAAACTGGCGCCGCACACAGGAGGAAACAAGAGCTTGTCAGGAGAGGCCCCTGCATCTGGGATGAGCCTGCGTCGGGAAATGTCACCCAGCAGCCAGCGATGGCAGAGGGACAGCCCCAGGGCCAGCTCAGCAGCCTCATGTGCTGTGTGCCTGAGGGCAGACTGCCTCCATCTCTGGCCTCAGGTCCCACCTATGAAGGTGGCTGTGCAGCCATGTGGGTGTGTCTTCCCATCCCTGAGTAGCCACCCAAGACGGGCCCACCCAGGAACCTGGCGGAGACGCCTGGGGAGAGAACGTCCCTGCTCTGGGCCAGGCTGGGTACTCACAGCCACCGCGAGGGTCACCGACGCCAGCTCCGCCTTGCCCAGGTGCCCACAGAACACAGTACTCACTATGTAGTTCATAAAAGTCAGCATCTGGAACAGGAACTGGAGGACGGCGACCGGGTCAGACCCGGGCCACAGGCGCCCCCACCCTCACGGCCCCGCCCTGCAAGACAGGCCTCTCCAGCTGTGAGGGCCCCGAACCAGTGACCCGGGAGGTCACCTACGCCTGGGGGAGCCAGGGCTGGAGGTCAGGTGGCCTGAGCCCAGCTCCCATTCTGCTTTCTGCAGCTGAAGTCACCCCTGGCCTCCATGTCCCTACCCAGAAAGGCCAGTGCACGAGAGACACCCAGTGCCGTGCCTGGCGCCGGGAGCTTGACCCAAGTGCCTGATGCTGCTATTGCTCTTCCTAGTATAATAATAATTTGGTCAGGCCACACACCCCCAAAAAAGAGGGGAATTAAATACACCAAACTCTTAGTAATGGCTACTTCCAAGCAGTTGGATTTCAGTTAAATTTCTTTCTTCTTTATAACTTTTCTTTTTTTTCTGAAGGCTTTACAGGGGGTGAAAATCCATTACTCTTTTTTTTTTTTTTTTTTTGGGATGGAATTTTTGCTCTTGTCGCACAGGCTGGAGTGCAATGGCAAGACCTCGGCTCACTGCAACCTCCCAGTCCCTGGTTCAAGCCATTCTCCTGCCTCAGCTTCCGAAGTAACTGGGATTACAGGCATGTGCCACCATGCCTGGCTAATTTTTGTCTTTTTAATAGAGACAGGGTTTCACCTGTTCGAGACAGGGTCTTGAACTCCTGACCTCAAGTGATCCGCCCTCCTCGGCCTCCCAAAGTGCTGGGATTACAGGCGAGAGCCACCCCACCAGGCCCATTACTCTTTATGGTCAGGGAAAAAATGAAATGTATAGAAAACAGTTTCCGCTTTGGATGAAATGGGTAGCTGGCCCCTGCTTCCCCCTGGGAAGGTGCTGCCGGCTTTGTGCATCTCCAGGTCACATTTGTCCTGGCGTCGTCTTCCAACTCAGGCGTTTGTGGGTTTCCAGCTGAGACACACCCACCCCTTCTGTGTGGGGGCTGCCTGCTGCTGAGCAAAATCAGGCCGCACTGCCACTGGGGATCGTCCAGGGACAGCCTCCAGGAGCCATCCTACTGTCCCCAGGCTCTGCGCCTGGCAGCCACCACGGGCAGTTTCTGGGGAAAATGTGAGCACACTGCTGGGTCCTGCCTGCAAGGTGGACACCCTCAGCCTCTCCGCTTTCTCCACTCCCTGACTGTCCCCTAGCCCAACCTCCTTACCAGGGGTCCGGAAAGAGCAAAGAGAGTCCACGCCTCAGCCCCAAAGCCTCTGGGAACCAGCCTGCTGAAGGCAGGGCAGCAGCCCCCAGGGCTCGGGGGCAGCGTGTCTTGGAGGCTGTCCATTCCTGGCCAGGGCACTGGCCACCCTGCACGCCTGAGTGCCCGCACAGCCAGCTATGTCCATCGAGCCGCCCCCTGCCGGGGCAGCCCATGTCAGTACAGCCTGGCTAATGAGTAAGGGGCAGGAGGAGGGGCTGCCATGGTGACCTGCCGGATGAGCCCTGCCTCCCTGGGCACTGAGGCCCTGCTGCCCAGCCCGCTGCCCCAGCCACTGGGTAGAACACGATGGAGGCCTGGACTCCTGGGAGTCACCCAGACCATTGCCTGTTGGTAACTTGTGTCTGATTTCCCAGAGGGGCAGGCAGTAAGGCCTCATCAGGAGAAGGTCCAGGGCTGCCTGCAGTGGCTGGGGGAGGAGTGCCAAGGCCGGGGCAGGGCAGCCTGGCCGCGGCAGCTGAGCCACTGGGCACCCAGGGGTGATGGTGCCCACGATGTCTCCCCTTTCTCGGAGGAACTCTCGGCCTGCCCGAGGTCACAGAGCAGGTGGTGGCAGAGCCTGAGCAGACCCCAAACCTGTCTTTCCCTGGGAGGGGCAGCTTCCCCAGAGTCAGGGGCCATTCAAAGCCCATGGCAGTGAGGTCCCTAGCTTTTCCTGCTGGAGGGGCCTGGGACTGGGGATGGGAGCTAGGACATCTGGCAGAGTCCCGAGCCCCCCACTGCCCATCACTCCTTTCAGCAGCATCTCTGAGAGCCAGGGGTGGCACTGCTTGGGAAGGCAGCTCACTATGCCTGCCAATCATTGTACCCAGCAAGGTTGTGACTCGGCGTCCCACTGGGGTCCTCCGTCACCCTCCCAAACTGCCCTATCTGCTTTTCCTTGCAGGGATGGCCTGTGACTCCCCCCTCATCCTGCCCCAGGACCAGCAGGGCAGTGGGAACCAAGAGAGGCGTGGAAGGATTACACCAGTCCCCTGGCCCAAGCCTGGATCAGGCTTGCGAGTGTGGGTTCAGCCCAGGAGAAGAAGGAGTGAGCACAGGGCCAGGAGGAGGGCAGGCAGGCTGGTGGCTGCAGGGGGTGCTGAAGACACCCTAAAGTCCCGCTTGGTTCCCACGTCCACCCCTGCAGCGGAGGAGTGGCTGGCAGGATTCTGAGATGCTCCCAGGGCCTCAAAGAGGAAGGAAGAGACCCTGAAGGAAAGGAGGCAGGATAAATACAAAAAAAGGCTCGTGCTATGCCCACAGGCTGCCCCGAATGCAGGCCCAGCCCCACCCCAGTCAACACGAAGCCTTCTTTCTTGACACGGAATTCCAGAACGCTCCACTGGCAGCGCCTGCATCAGGATCACCCGGGAGGTCACGCTCCTGCCCTTGTTCTGATGGTTCCTATCACGGCACTCTCCGACCTGTGCACTAAATAACGCCTTTACCACCTGCTCAGAGGAAAGAAGACATTTGATCCCCATTGTGACAGTGAGGATGACGCCACACGGGAAGAAGTACAGGCGGAAGCCGCAGCCTCGCAGGCCAGGCCACATGGCTAGACGTCTGACTTCTCTTGTCCAATGCCTTCTCCACGTCCTTCTCACCTCTGTCCCGTTCCCATGGTCAGCCTGCCTCTTCCAAAAGGGCAGCCGCAAATCCTCCTGCACTCAGGGGACCTGGGTCGGGGGTCTCTGGGGAGAGCAGCCACCCTCCAGCCTTGGCCTGTCACCTTCTGTCACAGCAGTGCAGTGAGCCCGGCCGCCAGAAGCAATACCGCATGGCAGCCCGAGACTACAGAGGTGTTTGGGGAGCCCACTCATGTAGGCAGAAGGGTTCATCTCACTCCAGGTCACTTTTAATGAGGACCACTGCCTCCCCTGCCCCCACCATGCTGGAAGGTGCTCAGTGCAGACACCCCGCCACCAGCTTGGAGACACCAGGCTTTCTCTGGAGCTGACCGGGGTGGAGCCCTCAGTTGCACAGGACAAAGGTCGGATCATCTTCCCCAGGGCCAGTCCTAGGCTTAGCATCTCCAAAATCCCTTCCCAGGAACAGTCCCAGGATTTCTGTGATAGGAGCCAATGTATCCTGCATTTTCTTCGGGGAGACTCTCCTCTCCCACACTCCTCTCAGAATTTCTGAATTTCAATCCCCAGGCCCCAGTGGCTTTGATCCTGGCAGGGAGCAAGGGCGATCAATACCATGCATTGGCCGCCCCAGGCAAAGGTGGCGTGGGCCGGGGGAGCCACCTCCTCCAGGTGTGGGGTGTCAGAGCTCTGTGATTCCCCGAAGTCTCCCAGCAATGCCTTCAGGCCCTCCTTTTGCGGTGGTGACCGCAGAATCAGCAGCACCGCCCTGCAGCCGCCTGCAGACTCTGCTCCGAGTGGGGTTTTCCGGGATTCCTCCCTGGAACCTGAGATGCTGTAAGCAGAGCTGCGGGTGGGCCCTGTACGCCATCCTGTGGCTGGCGGGGGCTCCGAGACTTCAGCCTCTGCCCTCTCTCCAGAGCGTCCAGTGCTGTCAGGAGCCACACGCCACCCTTCAGTCCTGCACCTTCTGTGGTCCCAGATACGGCACACAAGAGACTGATCAGCAGCTCACTCTCAGGAACAGGGCTGCTGATCCCCTAGAATGTGAAAGCAAGCCCCGGCGATGCTGGACCCTTTCCCTTCTCAGCTGATCACTTGTTTCCCAGGCCCTTATTTCCCGGGGCAGGTGGCCTGTGACATCCGCCTGATGCCAGTTGCCGCGTCCGCCACGGTTCTCTGATGGAAATGATAGACACGAACTAGGATCATGGCAGCAGGTGGAGGAAGGGAGGAAGGGGTAGAGGGGTCATCGTTGCTTAGTGATCCAGAAGAGGGCTGAGCAACTGGCCTCGAGAAGGGAGAATCACGCAGCCCTGAACTCTCGGGGTTATTCAGGGAAAGCTGACTCAGCCCCAACGCCTTTAGTCCCAGAGACAAATTCCTGGAAGACGGGGGTTAGGAAGACCTAACCTGAACAAGAATGGAGGTGGAAAGGGTGGGAAGAAGGGACCCTGCCTGAAGTGGGGCAGGGTCCCCCCAGAGTGTGGGATGCTGTGAAAGTTAAAACATGCCTGCACAGGCTGGGCGCAGCAGTTCACACCTGTAATCCCACCACTTTAGGAGGCCAAGGTGGACAGATCTCAAGATCAAGAGTTCAAGACCAGCCTGGCCAACATGACGAAACCCCGTCTCTACAAAAAAAATACAAAAATTAGCCGGGCATGGTGGTAATCCCAGCTATTCAGGAGGCAGGCGAATCGCTTGAACCCAGGAAGCGGAGGTTGTAGTGAGCCAAGATTGAGCCACTGCACTCCAGCCTGGGAGACAAGGACAAGACTCCATCTCAAAAAAAAAAAAAAGTGCCTACATATCCTGCCTCATTAATTTATTGCTGCACAGCCCATGGCCCCCAAAATTGGTGTCTTAAAACCACTACCATCTGTGTCGTGACTCTGTGGGGCGAGTTGGGTGGTCCTTCTGCCTCCTCTGGTCCAGCGTGTCTTTGTCACCTGGGACTGGCCAGGGCTGGCCCGTCCTCCAGGCTCATGCCCAGGCCGCAGTGGGTGCCTGCACTCAGCTGAGACCGTCACTCGGAGCCTCTCCACCTCCCCTCACAGGACCTCCCCACGTACCGTGGGCATCTCAGCACGGAGCTGGAGCAGAAGACGGACATTCGATGGTGCCAGTGCAAGCTGCGTACAGGTCAAGAGCCAGCCTGGGGAGTCCCCATGGCCCTCTGCCTCATTCTGTTGACCACAGGTAATCATGGACTCGCTCACATTTCACAGGAGAGGGAACAGCCTCCACTTCTAGGTGGCCGCGGCCGAGAGGCCATGCCTTCTCTAGCCAGCACCTGCCTCTTCCTCTTCTCTATTCCCCCCTCTCCATTGTCTCCTCTCCTCTCTCCTGTGCCACCCACTGTCCACACTTGGCCCCAAGCACGGGCGAGCAGATAAAGCCCCCTGAGGTCAGTGGTGAGAGGACTTACGCTTATCCAGGAAGGAGGACCCAAAGCTACAAAATCCTGCGAATGGCAGGAGGCGGGGGAGGGGAAAGGAGTGGAGAGTCCTGGGAAGCCCCCAGCACACACCCTGGGACTGGGGAGGCTCCGAGCCAGCGAGAGGAAGCTTGACCCAGGGGGCGCTGGCCCACCAACCCCATCAACCTCGCTGAGGCAGAGCCTCGAGGCATGTGGGAGTGCCAGGAAGTCCCCTTCACTTGAGGGCTCAGCTCCTGCAGGCTTAGGGCCTGCTGGGGGCAAGGGCCAGGTCCTCGGGCCCTGCCTTCATGAGAGTAATTTCCTGGAGTCTGCCCAAGTACAGTCTGGGTCCAGGGCCCCTGTGAACCTTTCCTCACTCGGTTCCACCTCACTGGGCCGGAAGGCGCTGCATTTGCTCTTTGGCTCCCAGAGACGTGTACAGCCAGGCCAGGGACCAATGTCCTTTCCTCCAACCCTTCTCCACTGCCTCGTGACTGCAGAACACCCATTCCTCCCCTGGGAGGATGGGGACTCTGGCTTGCTGATGGCTCAGCCCCACATTCAGGGCAAAGGACAGTTGGGGGGGGAACTAAGCTATCCCCCTGCCTCGTCTCCTCCCCCCACCGGACGGTGACCAATACCTGCTAAATCGCTGAGGTTCCCCTCCCTCCCCGACTCCTCCTCAATCCGCTCGTAGATTTTGGCAGCTGCCTCTCTCTACCTCCGCCTGGTAGTCCCTCCCTCCACCCCTCACCCCTTCCTGTTCTCCTCTCTCCCTACTCTCATAAGGTCTCCCTGGCACCTTCCAGGCCCAGGTATTTCACCCCCAGAAATGACCAGGGCAGTCCCTGAGCTGACGTCAGCACTCCCAGTCCTTCAGGTGAGGGGAGAGACGGGGGCAGCTGGCAAAGCCCTTGGCAGTGGCGGCAAGACCCCCAGACGTCACTGCCAAGTGCTAGAAGATGGCGAGCCTTTCCATCGGGAGAAAAGGTATGAGAAATAAAAGTAAACGTTGCTCATCGATAAAACGAAATGAGCCACCAAGGCACAAGAAGACGCGGAGCCACCGCAAACGCATATGGCTTGGCTAGTTGGAAGAAGCCAGCCTGAAAAGGCTGCATGCTGTGCAACTCCAACTCTTTGCCATTCTGCAAAAGGCAAAACTATAGAAACAGCAAGATCAGCGGTTGCTGCGGAGGTTCGGGATGAACGGGCGAAGCTCAGAGGAATTTTAGGGCCGAGAAAGTATTCTGTAGGATCCCGTAATGGTGGATTCATGGCATTATTTCTGCAAACCCATAGGATGTACAACACTGCCAGTGAACTCTAATGTAAACGATGGACTTTAGTTCATAATACTGCATCAATATTGGTTAATCAGTGGTAACAAACGCACCATTCTCATGCAAGATGTCAGTAGGGGAAACTGGTGGGGAGGTGGGGGTGGAGGTAGCGAGGTCACCGCAAACTCTGTTCTTTCTGTGCAGTTCTGTAAATCTAGAACTGCTGTAGGACAGAAAGTCTATTTTTAAAATGGTACACAAAATAGTAACAACGGGCATTTCTTGAGGTCTCTACATGTTCCCCTCCTGCACATGCATTTCATGTTGTTTCCAAAACGCAGCAGCAGCGCTTTTCACAATTGCCAAAAAGTAGGGCGAGCCCAAATGTCCGTGCACTGATGAAAGGAACACCAAGATGTAGAATATCCAATCATGGAATATTATTCAGCCCTAAAAAGAAACGAAGTATTGATCCACTAAAAACAGGGATGAACTTTGAAACCATGATGCTATGTCAAAGAGGCCAATCAAAAAAGGCCAGAGAGTGTGTGATTCCATTTCTATGAAATGTTCAGGATAGACAAATCCTCCAGACAGAGAGTAGATGAGTGATTTCCAGAGGCTTGCAGGGAGCGGGGATTGGGGGGAAGACAGAGGGTGACAGCTAAGTGGATATGGGGTTTCTTTGGGGGTCATAAAAATGTTCTAAAATTGATTGTGTTGCTGGTTTCGCATCTGTGTGAATATACTAAAAGCCATTGAATTGCATACTTTAAAAAGGTGCATATGGCATGTGACTTAACGAAGCTGTTTAAAGGTGTAAGGGGGAGGGATGCTGTAAGCTCTTTACATACCAAGGTTATTGATGCGTAGGGGTGGTGAATACAGATTTCTACATTTTGGGAAAATGCATAAAAGAGCTAGAGGCTCACCTGCAAGGCGGCTAGTATGGCAGCAAGAGAGGTTGTCCATTCAGCCTTGTGTTTGCGGGGAGCTGCCACACCCTGGGCCCTGGCAGATTTCCAGCAGGCGTCTGAGAGCCTGAACATCTTGCTGAAAGAAGCCCCATCACTTCATCCAAGTGAGAGCCTGAGCACTTTGGCAGCAGCCCTGAGTGGCAAATTTGGGTTTAAACCAGCAGTTCCCACCTTGGCTGCACTTTATAATCACTTAGGAAGCTTTCACCAAAACAAAACAAAACAAAACACTATCCAGGGCCCACCCCAGACATTCTGATCTGAAATTGGCCCGGACAGCTGGGTTTTTGCCTGATTTCTTTAACTTCTTATTGAAGTATATTATTTACACAGGAAAGTGTGTAAGTGTACAGGTCCATGGATTTTCATAAAATAAATACACTTGAGTAACCAGCACACAGGTCAAGAAACAGAATTTAACTGACTTCCAACGCCCTGGTTTCCCCTTCCAGTCACTCTCCCTTACCAAGGACAGCCACTGCCTTGGTTTCGGGCACCAGCGAGTTCTTTGCCAGGCATTCTTCTAAACCCCCCTCTCTGATGTGCAGCTGGCGTTGAGAGCCACAGGTCTGGACACGTTCACCCCGGGGCTGGGGAAGGGCCCAGCCTCTCAGCATGTTGCTGCGAAATTTGATCCCAGTTTGTGTCCTTGGCGAAGGTGGAGGGGTGCGGTGCCATTGTGCTCAGCGGTCACTTCTGAAATGACAGGTGCACGCCGTGACTCTCCTAGGACTGCCCGATGCAGTGGGCGACTGAGCCGGCTACTCTTGGCTCTGCCCCTGTGTGTCCCTGAGGTTACCCTTCCAGGCACTGCCAGGGCGGTCAGAGCTCAGTGACCCTGTACTGCCTGCCCCCGCCATCCCCTCTCAACTTGGCCAGACCCACCAAGTGGAGGATTTGAGGTCTGTGAAGTCAGCCTGGGAGCGGAGCAGGGGGCAGGCACTGGGGACTTGGGCGCCCAGCCGCAGGGATCGCTCTTAACGCCACTGTTCCCATCGCGCAGAGCCTGGCTGGCCTGAAACACTGGGCTGTCTGAGATCAAAGCAACGCTTCGCCCACGCACGTGACACCGCGGGGCGCGCAAACAGGAAGCCCGAGCCCTGGCTGCAGGCGCCGGCACCGCAGCGCGCAGCCCGCCTCTCTGTACCCGCAAGCCCGAACTCAGCGCAGCCTCCGGCCAGGGCCCGGACACCGAGGCCTCGGGGAAGACCCGCCGCGTGGAACGCCCCGCCCGGTCGGCCGGCCCCGCGCGCCCAACCCCTCCCCGTGGACCTTGCCCGCGGGGGCTGCGCAGGACCCCCCGGGACGCGTGGACCCTACACCGCAGCCCCGCACAGGCCCCGCCGCAGCTTGGCAGGCGAGGCCCTGTGTGCCGCGGGACAGCCTCCGCCGGCCGCAGGCGATTGGACACCTCTCCCAGGATGCACCAATCTTTTTTTTTCTTCCTCTTCTTCTTTTTCAAGTTGAGATGGTGTGAATGGCATCTGTTCCTCCTAACCCGTGACCCTCACCGACTGTGAGGCCTGTCGGGAGCTCTGCACAGCCCGCTGTCTCCACATCCGCAACCTCAGGGTCTTCACTGACCCCACCGCACAATCCCTGGCTTGACCGTCTTTCCTCATAGGCCTTGCTAGGAGGCAGACCCCTAGCGCGAGGGCCGGGGGGAGCTCCAGGACCACCTAGCAGGACATTGCTTGACCCATCAGACCTACGTCAGCCTGCGGGGGAAAAGGACGTCCCCACCTGCTCCTCACACCTGCACACCCTTCAGTGATGTAGTTTGTTGAACCCAAGTGGCATGCAAGAAAGGAAATAGACAATTTAAGCTCACTTCAGATAGATTTGGGTTACATTCTGATCCCGCCACTTTCCCGATGTGTTGACCTTGGGCGAGTCATAGATTCTCTTTAGTTTGTTCCTTCCTTGTAATAAAATCTGACATAGGTCTTGTTACCGTATGAGCCAGCAACTCCATTTCCATAAACACCCAAAAGAACTGAAAGCAGGGACTGAGGCAGGTATATGTACACCCTTGTTGACAGCAGCACTGTTCGCTAGAGCCAGTGGTGGAAACAGCCCTCTTGTCCATCAACAGATGCATGGGTCAACCAAATGCAGCGCATGCATCTGTAGAATACTACTGAGCCACAAAAAGGAGGCAATTCTGACAGATGCTACATATAAGGTGGATGAACTCTGAGGACATTTTGCTGAACGAAATAAGCCAGACACAAAAGAACAAACATTGTATGATTCTACCTGCATGAGGGACTTAGAGTGGTCGAATTCAAAGAGACAGAAAGTAGAATGGTGGTTGTCAGGGACTGGGGAGAAGGTGGCAGGACTGTGGGAGCCGTTTAAAGTGGAAAGAGTTCTGGAGATGGCTTGCACAGCAATGTGAAGGCATTTACTTATTTTTATTTTTTATTTATTTTTTGAGACAAAGTCTCCCTCTGTCACCCAGGCTGGAGTGCAGTAGTGCAATCTTGGCTCACTGCAACCTCCACCTCCTGGGTTCAAATGCTTCTCCTGCCTTAGTCTCTCAAGTAGCTGGGATTACTGGCGCGTGCCACCATGCTCGGCTAATTTTTTTGTATTTTTAGTAGAGACAGCGTTTCACCGTGTTAGCCAGGATGGTCTCGATCTCCTGACTTCATGATCTGTCCGCCTCGGCCTCCCCACGTGCTGGGATTATGGGTGTGAGCCACAGTGCCCATGTTAGACGGAGTTTCACTCTTGTGGCCCAGCTGAAGTGCAATGATGCAATCTTGGCTCACTGCAACCTCCTCTTCCCGGGTTCAAGCGATTCTCCTGCCTCAGCCTCCCAGGTAGCTATGATTACAGGTGCCTGCCACCACACCCGGCTAATTTTTTTTTTTTTTTTTTTTTTTAGTAGAGATGAGGTTTTACTATGTTGGCCAGGCTGCTCTCAAACTGTTGACCTTAGGTGATCCACCCGCCTCGGCCTCCCAAAGTGCTAGCATTACGGGGGTGAGCCACCGCGCCTGGCCAATGTTAGGCTAACATAGATGGAAGTGTCTGGAACCTAGGAGACATACAATGTTATGGTCTTTTTTTTCTTTCTTCCTAAAATCCTGATTCCTTGGTTCCCGATGTTTTAAAGATATAGACTAGATGAAATTCAATGAACACTGTAAAAATTCTTGGTTTTCTTTTCTTAAGTAGGTTAAATAATCTGCATAACACATTTTGTTGCATAACACATCTTTTTTTCTTGTTTTCTTTAACAAATCTTTTTGAAGAAGAAGTAAGAGGAGGAGAAGGAGAAGAAGCGAGGAGAAGGAGAAGATGACTCAAAAGAAAACTTTAGCTTGGCTCTTAGCATTTTCATCTCTGCAAATTCCCTGCAGAATACGTCTGAATGGTGTGTAGGAGCATATGTGTTGATGTAATGATACATGTAGGAACAGGTGTCTCCATTATGTGCTAATTGTGCAGCATGAGATACATCTCATTTAATGCCAGGCTTTTTCAGGTAGACATGCTTATTCCCATTTTACAAATGACAGGATTGAAGTTCAGGCAAAGAAAGGACTTGCCCAAGTTCACACTGCTAGAAAGTGGCAGAGTCAGAATATGAGGCTGGGTCGATCTCCTATCCAAATACACATCCTTTCTACTTCATCTGGGATAACAAATCGCTTTTCTCCAGCCTGCCAGCTCTGCTCTGCTGTACTCCATTGCTATCTTGTGAACTTCAGATGATTCAGCAAAGCAAAAAAGAGTGAGGTGATCAACTCGTAATGTCTGCCACGAGCACTGGATAGAGGAGCAGCAGTATGTGTGCTATGCAGGGACCTCTCCAACTTACATCACAGTGAGCACAGGTTTAGGAGCAGAACTAGGAAGAAAATATATTTTTTTTCCTATCTGTCTAGCAACTATTGGCCTGAAAAAGAACTCAGTGTCAGAATGCTCAGGAAGGCCCAGCCGTCCTACTGTTAGGGCTTCTAGCTGGGCTGGGCCTTCTCTGTCCTCCGCGCCCCTTTGACTTCCCAAGGTAGAGAAGGTGTAGAAACTCCTGTTGGGAATTTCTAGTAGAAGCTCCAATTGCTCCCAGTCCCCAGCCCTGTCAACTCCCGTCAGGCACACACGCCTTGGGAAGCAGACAGCTGTTGTCCTTCTCAAGCACAGGTTACCAGCAGCAGACGTTTGCTTCCCAGCACGTCACGTGAGGACTTGTGAGATCATTTCTGGCCCTGGCTCAAATGGAAGAAGTTCCATTAAAGCAGTTCCCGGGAACAGGCCTGGGCAACGTTCCTAGGATGGGCAAGGCAGTTGCTTGGGAAGCTTGGCAC